ATCTCTAACTAACCAGCAAAAAAATCCAGATGTGAAGGTTTGGTTCAAATAGTAGAGTGACAGCTTTGACTGAAAAAGGTAAAAGAAACTGTATAGAGAAGACTAAGGACGAAATTCTGGAACAGTCCAACACGTAATAGTTTAGAGGGGAAAAACTAATGAAAAATGGAGAAAGAACTTAGGAAGAAAAGAAAATCAAAAGGATAACACGATTTGAAAAAAATGATCAAATTATTTCAAGGGGACAGGAAATAATAAAAAGTGTCAAATGCTGATTGGTCAATAACGAAGGGACTAAGAATTGGTCACTGAATTTGGCAATGTGCTCATTTGTCATCTCCAAGAGGAGTTTTGATGGGGTAAAAGTTAGTTTGGGTTGAGCACCAAATGCTGGTGACTCACACCTATATTCCTAGCTATTCAGGAGGATGATACCTGAGAATCGCCATTCAGAGCCAACCCATGTATGAAAGTCCATGAGACGCTTATCTCCAATTAACCACCAGAAAACCAAAACTGGTGCTGTGGCTCAAAGCGGTAGAGTGTTAGCCTTGAGCAAAGGTGCCCAGGGACATCGCCCAGGCCCTGAGTTCAAGTCCCATGGCTGACAAAAACAAAAAACAAAAAAAAAACCCAGAGAACTAAGGAAAGAATCTGGGGAGAGGTAATAGGGACCCTTCTTACAAGGAAGTGTTCTGCAAAGAGAAATACATAGAATAGGTGGAGAAAGTAGGTGCAGAAAAAGCTTTTTTGTCTTTTTTTTTAAGCTAGGGAAATGATAGCATGTTTGCAAGTAGATAATAAGATGAAGTAAGGGAATAAGACTGGTGACATAACAAGGGGATTTTGCAGTGGTGTTTTGAGTAGGCAGGAGAGGGCAGGATCTAGCATGCAAGTGGAGGAATTAACTTCGAAGTGAACACAGACTGTTTATATTTGAAAACAGTCAGGAAGGCCAAGCTTATGAGTCATCATTTTGAAAAGTGTTTGTTCTCTTCTGATTGCTTCAATTTTCTTATTATGTCTTTTATCCTTACTCATTTCAGCTACACAGAAAACATCAGAATCCTAGGCTGCCCTTCCTTTACAACTCTCTCATAGAGCTCTGAACTTCTTATAACCCATCTTCCCCGCTCCTCACTCCTCAAGTCTTCCATGATGTCATCAAGAATGTATCATTTTAATTCTGTATGTAAGTTTTTATTACCTTCACTCTGTCAGTACTGAGTGCTATTATGTAAAGGAATCTGTCAGTTTGATAGTGAAACCTGTCATAACATTGTTATGTGATGTGATTTCTCATAAAGTTGAAAACATTTCTTATATATTTGTTGTCTAAATTTTCTTTTATAGATTACTTGCATATTATTAATTTTCTTTTTTTCTTGTTGCTGTTATTTGTATTTGTGATGTGATTTTGCTATATAGCCTAAATTTACAATCCACCTACCTTGGCCTTCCCCAAGGCTGGGATAACAGACATGCCCCACTAAAGCTGGCTCAATGGCTTGGTTGATTGTTTTGTTTTTGTTTCTGTTTTTACTGGGGGTTTCAATGTGTTCTACTTTAAGAAATTCTTCCTATATTAGGATTATGAATCCTATTTCTCATGAATGCTGAAAATACAAAGTTGTCATTTGTCTTTCAATGTGATTTTTGGCATTTATAGTTTTTTCAATGTTATTTTATATAGACGGGTTATTTATTTTATGGTATGGAATCTATTTTGAGTGCTTAGAAAGCACTTCTCTCTCAGATAGCATGCTGTAAGAGGCTATTGAGAAATACTTGGTGCTAATTTGGCTGGGTCCCTATTCCAAGGTAACCTCTTCAGTTTTGGGCAGTTTGCCAACAACAGCTCTATCCAGAAGACTAATATTAGCTGATCACTAAAGCAGTCTAAATAACAAGACTGTACATTTGGTTCCAAGGAGAGAAATGAGAATCTGTAAAAGGCAAGTTTAACTAAAGATTACAATCCAAGTAGTGATGCCATTGAGAAAATTCGCATTTGCTAAATGTGTATAAGATACAAATCTATTCATCTAATAAATTAGTATTTTTTTGTTCCCTACTGTGTGCCAGATGCTAAGTTGAATGTTACAGTAAAAAAGGCCATGTCCTACCAGTCCAGATGCCCCTTAGTAGATGAATGGATCAAGAAAATGTGGTATATATACACAATGGAATTCTATGCCTCCATCAGAAAGAATGACATTGCCCCATTTGTTAGGAACTGGAAAGACTTGGAAAAAATTATATTAAGTGAAGTAAGCCAAGCCCAAAGAAACATAGGTCCCATGGTTTCCCTTATTTGCAATATCTAGTATATGTATGAGTCAAGCAGAAAAGGTCAGATAAAGTGATGTTAGGAAAATGAACCCTAAGATATGTATTTAAATGTTTTTTTCTTTCATGCATTTGTTTCTAATGCATTTATAAGATTATTTCTTTGTTGCTTTGTATGTCCCTCCCCCACAGTATAACCCCTGCTTTCACTGCATTTGTTGTTGGTATAATTTGTGGAGGGGAAGGGGAAAAACAAGTCGTTCAAATAAGGATACAGGTGGACCCATTGCAGCAATGAGAAGTACAAGTTGTCATTACAACTTTGGTGCAGGGGGGTGGGGCCGGGGAGGATTGGGTGGGGCGGCCGGGGGCAGGCTGGGAAGGTATGTGAAGGGTAAACAAAGGAGGAGGCTGCAATGCTTGATAAGAAATGTACGCATTATCCTGCCCATGTAATTTTAACCCCTCTGTACAGTATGTTCACAAAAATAAAATAAAATAAAATTTTAAAAAAAGGCCATGTCCTATTTGCAGGAACACATACAAGGAACATCTAAGAAAAGTCTGTCACAAATATAAAAATGCTAAATGCACATGATAAGGGACTAATTATAACAGCTCAGGAATATCTTAATGAAAGCATTAGAAAATAAATATTGGAAACTATGCATGTATATGATAAAAATGGAATCAGAAAAATGGTGGAAAAAATATGGCTGGTGGATTAGTGCAAAGTGATATATGGGGACTTTAGCTTGAGTTTTCTGCATGTGGATATCGAGTTTTGCCAGCATCATTTGATGAAGAGGCTATCTTCTAGCAGATGATTTTTGCCTCCAATATAGAAGATTGGATGGCTATAGGTATGTGAGTTTGTTTCTGGGTCTTCTATTGTGTTCCATTAATCCTCAGGCCTATTTTTGTGCCAGTAACAAGTTTTCATTACTATGGCTTTGTAGTACAGTCTGAAGTTTGGTATTGTTGTTCCTCCAACACTGTTCTACTTGCCAAGGATTGCTTTTACTATTTTGAGTCTTTTATTATGCCATATGAATCTTTGGATTTCTTTCTCTATCTTGTTGAAGAATGTTTTTGGGGTTTTGATAGGTATTGCATTGAATTTGTAAGTTGCTTTGGGCATTATTCCCATTTTCATAATGTTAATTCTTCCAATGCAGAATCATGGAAAGCCTTTTCATTTCCTTAAATCTTCTTCAATTTCCTTTCTCATTTTTAAAAAGTTTTCACTATAGATTTCCTTCACATCTCAAATCTCTGGCCGTTAATTCTCAGGATTTTTGTTTTATTTTGGCTATTGTAAATGGGGGGTTGCTTTCCTGATTTCTATTTGATCAATTCAAAATGAACCAAAGACTTCAATGTAAGACTGGGAGCCACAAACCAATTGCAGGAAGGGGTAGGGAAAACATAGGGCTCCTGAGCACAGGTAGAAATGTTCTGAATGAAATTCCACAAACAGGAAAAATATCAAAGAAAAACTTGATAAATGGGATTGCATCAAACCTAAAAGTTTCTACATGCAAAGGACATAGCTAACAAGCCACAAAGAAAGCCGTCAGAATGGGAGAAGATTTTTTTAACCAACTATCCATTAGAGACCACTCTACAACCCAGCAATTACACTCCTGGACATTTATCCAACAGACACAAGGCCATAAGAAAGCCACCAGCACAACCGTGATGGTAGCAGTATTAATTACCAACAGACACAAGGCCATAAGAAAGCCACCAGCACAACCGGGATGGTAGCAGTATTTATTAATTACCAACAGACACAAGGTCATAAGAAAGCCACCAGCACAACTGTGATGGTAGCAGTATTAATTATCTTTGCAGTGCCCTCCACTGGCCCTCAAGACCCAGTCTTCTTGTTTCTCATCCTATTACTTGAGCATTCTCTTTTACTTGAAACTTTCTGCTTTGCCTCTAGATCTAGTTCTTTCTTCATTGTTACACGACACTCGTCATTCACATTTGACCATTTCTCTGACCGTTTCTTTGACTGTTTCCCTGATTTGAAAACATTTGGGTGAGCCCAGTTCAGACTTGGAACTTTTCTCCTTTCTATATATGCTTATTCCCTTGATGATCTTATTTTAAGGTTGTAAATAGTTTACACTGACCATTCTAAAATTTGTATCTCCAATTTAGAATTATGAAACCTCAGGGTCAGACACTCAATACTTTTGAAATTGCTACTGGGCTGTCACATAGGCATCCATAATAAACTTTTTTGCTAAAGATGTTTATTCTCTTTTTTCAGAGCCAGCATTACATTTAACCTTTTGGTCTGATGTCAGGGTTGGCTCTGTAAATTGCTTTGGACAATAACATGTGACTAGAGGTGATATGAACTCTTTCTGAAGAATGTTGTAGTCATTATTTTGGCATAACAAACTACCCAAGGGTAGTTATCTTATAAAGAAAAGAGATTTATTAGTTCACAGTTCTGGGGTTTCAAGAGGATGGCACCAGCATCTTCTCATCTCTGAAGAGGGTCTCAGGGCATTTAGTATTACAATTGTGGCAACATGTGTAAGAGTGATCACATAGGAGGCAGGAAGTAAGAAAGGTGCAGTAAGAAAGGTTTGCTCTTTTTATAGCAATTCAGTCATTTGGGAACTAATTGGGACCCTATGAGAATGACACTAAGTCTCTCTGTGAGTTCCCCCAGTGATTCCATTACTTACCATGGGACCTCATTTCTTAAAGAGTCTGCCACCTTTAAACACTGTCAAAATGAGGGTCAATCTGAAATACACATTGAAACCAAAATCAAACCATTGCAAAGCCTTGAATAACATTGGTTTCACTATGCTTTCATTTCCCTCTGTACAGGGTCTTGCTAGGTAGAGGCTGCTCATTCAGTCCATGTCATCAAATGAAGTTGGAGTTGTCAAATGAATATTTCCATAGTTAAATGCTGGAGTTTTCCAATTTCCAGCCCCAAACCTACAAGACCAACAGAACTCTGCATCTAGTGAATCTGAATCTCATATTCCATGCATAGGTACGTATCATACACTGATGAACAAAGCAGGCACAGAAGATAATAACGAAGATTATATTCAATGAGAATGAAACAGATGGTAGTGAACTAGCATACTAAGTTTAATGTGTAGTATTTAATATAATGGATATTATATAATAGTAACTGTTAGATTTAAATGTGTAGAAGAAAATGCACGTGTGTTGCTCAGCTTTTTGTCACTTTGACAAAATGCCCGAGAGAACAATTTGAACAGGAGATGTTTATTTTGTGTCATGACTTCAAAGGGTTTAGTTCAGGGTCACTGGCCGCATTGCTTTTAGGCCAGTTGCAAAGCAGAAATACCATGGCTGAGGAAACTGCTAACCTCATGGTGGCTGGGAGCACAGAATGAGAGAAAAATGGAGATATATACCCTTTAACCTCATCCCTCCAGGGACCTACTTAAGTCCTCTAGCCAGGCCTTACCACCTAATGGCCCATTCAACTATGAACTCCTCAATGAGTTAATCTACTGATCAAAAAGAAAGACAAACCAGGAATTAACAGAAAAGATTAATTTTTGTGAAGCTAGTGCCATCATGATCCATTCATCTCTCAACAGCACCAAAAGCTAGGGACCAATTCTGTAATATGCTAGGGTTTTAGGGGAACACAGCAGCATAACAACAGAAAAAATATAAAATAAGGCAAAGGGGAGAAGGATACCAGGTATAAAAGTAAGAGGGTAGGTTTTCCATGTTCACCATAGTTGACTTCCTTGAGGAAGAAATATTACAGCATAGCATCAAAAACTGTAGAATTCTTGGCCCATAATGACTCTATCCAAACCCTGTAGTCAGAGAAATCAAACTCTTATACAGAAGTATGCAAACATATCTCCAAGGCAATTCTAGAGCAACTGCCCCCTACTGCAGATGCTAATTTAGTATCTAGTGCTACTAGAACTTACTGTTTGTTCTAGCCAACACCCTTCAACAGGTTTTTCTTATACCATTTGTGAAAAAAGGCCCCTTTTAAAAAGCCCATTTGTGAATCTGTATTTCCTATAACTCTGAAGTATTTTCTCAAGGACTTGGAAGTTATTCCTTTGAAATATAATCATTAGGTAGACAGGGCCTCATCTCCCAAACTCAGTGAGAAGAGAGAGCCTAATTTTCATAAGTGGCAACTGGTAGACACAGCCTAGTCCCATTTTTACTTAACAACTCAGTGTAATGTTCCACTTCTCTGAGTACTTGAGTTTTCACATCACCATTAAGTTTCACCTAGTCTCCTAGGCACAAATCAGTATTCAGGTAATTCTACCCTTACTTTTAGTAATTACTCAACAAAATCTGCTTGAATAGCTTTTTTTTTTTTTTTTTGGTCGGTCGTGGGGCTTGAACTCTGGGCCTGGGCGCTGTCCCTCAGCTCTTCAGCTCAAGGCGAGCACTCTACCACTTGAGCTACAGCGCCACTTCCGGTTTTTTTTCTGGTGGTTTATTGGAGATAGGAGTCTCACGGTCTCTCCTGCCCGGGCTGGCTTTGAACCGCGATCCTCAGATCTCAGCCTCCTGAGTAGCTAGGATTACAGGCATGAGCCACCAGTGCCCGGCTGCTTGAATAGCTTTAACTGATATCTATGTGTGTTTACCTTTGACAATCTTGAAAAAAGAGCGAGACTCAAGAGTAAAGTGTCTGAAGCAGTGGCACAGCCAGTCCAGAAGCCAAAATTCAGGAGCATGCCTGGTCTATACAAATAATAGAATGCAGTATGGTTGGAGCAGAAGTGATTGAAATATTGGTGGAAATTGCTATCTATGATATAGAATGTAGAAACTCATAGGCCCTCTCAGACAGGAACTTTTAACTTTTATTCTTCAGTGGGACAGGAAGTCATTGGAGGATGTTGAACTGAAGGGTGACATGATCAGGCTTAGAGACCACTGTGTCATGTTGAGATTTGACAATAACAAGAATGGTGAACTTAGAAGATCACTAAAATAATTCAGGTGAGGGGTAATGTGGTTCAGGCACAGATAGTAAGTTGCATTAACACAGGATTCTTGATGCATTTTATTTCTAGATGTGTTGGATATGAGAAGGTAGGATTTCAATATTTTTTGGGGTCGTGGGGCCTGAACTCTGGTCCTGGGCGCTGTCCCTCAGCTCTTCAGGTCAAGGCTAGCGCTCTACCACTTGAGCCACAGCGCCACTTCCGGGTTTTTTCTTTTTGCTTATGTGGTGCTGAGGAATCAAACCCAGGGCCTCATACATGCAAAGCAAGAGCTCTACCACTGAGCCACCTTCCCAGCCCCAGATTTCAATATTTTTTATCCCAATCATTTAGCAGAAGAGAGTGTGCTTAAACTAAGATTTTAGTGGATTTTATTGAGGACAGGGGAGAGGAACTCAGCTTCAACAATGTTTGCAACATCTGCTATACAAATGCATGAGCTGGTTGAGCAGGCAGTTGAATATTTAGGCCTAGAGTTTGAAGTCTATGCTTCATATTTTCATTTGGGAGTTGTAAAATACTTTGTGTTGGACTGCATGAGATGACCACAGGAATGAGCCTAAGTGAAAAGCTAACTTGGTTACCAAAGCTGTCAACATGAACAGGTTTGGAAGAAGCAGCAGCAGCACAAGAGATTGAGGATGAACCGAGCCAATCAGGTAGAGTTTCAAAAGTTTGATTTCTTGGAAACCAAGAGAAAAAAGGTTTACAAAGGAAAGTGAGTAACAACTGTCAACTACCAAGATGAAGACTGAAAAGTGACCTACCGTGTTGGGTGAGTGAGGGAAGACCCTTTGAGGGAGTATGGAGTACAGAGAATATTTTGAGGAATTTCTTTGCATTAACAGAGAAATAGGCCAGTGAGGGGGGAAACGATGTTCGTCGGCTCTTCTTACACCTTCTATGTTCAAACAAGGTGATACTCTGATATCTGACAGTCCTGCAGAGGGCATCATTGCTGTAGTCATTTACCAGGTGAAGAAAGAGCAAGCCTCCTCACAGGAAGACAACTTGTTTTAAAGCTTCACAGATGGGATTTCAAATGATCAACAGCTAGTTCTCAAGTAGATCTACAGTTGGCTTATTGAAAAACCACCCGTGGGGGAAATGATCGACACGCTCATGGGTAAATGGCTCGGCTCGCGTACACACAACGGCGCGCATTTCCGGACGAAGTCTGTTCCCGAACTACCGAACTGACACGGGGCAGCCAATCAGTTACCGCGCCGCGGTGATGTCATCACGAAGCGCGGACGCATGCTGTGCGTCACTACCGACGAGACGTGTGGGGCGGTTCCTGGTGAGCGCCCTCGCTCACCCCCTGGCGGCAGCGGGCTTCGCCGGCCGTGGCCGCGTCGCCCGCCCTCTTCCGGCGCTCAGGGTGGCCAGCGCGCTCCCTTTTCTGCCTGCCCCAGCGCCGCCAGGCGAGGGGCGACTCCTCGAGGTGACACGGAGGCGGTGCGGACGGCGGGCCCCGCGCAGGCCCAGTAGTCCTGGAGAATCCGGGCCTGGGCGGCTGGGGCAGGTGCGATGGCGGAGGAGCAGGTGAGCCCCGGCTTGGAGTCAGCTCCCGACCCTAAGGAGGTGGCTCCTGCCGGGCCTGCGGTGGCGGCGTCGACGGAGAACTCCGGCGCTGCCGCGAAATCACCGGACACCGGGGACTACGACGGCAACTGTGTGTTCTGTCGGATCGCCCGGCGGCAGGAACCCACGGAGCTCCTGCCCTGCGAGGTGGGCGGCGACAGCCGCGAGGGCGGGCTGGGACTCTGGGGAGGGAGGGAGGGAGGGAGGGAGGGAGGGCGGGCGGGCGGGCGGGCGTGTGTGTGTGTGTGTGTGATGGGTAAGGGACCCTGACTGACTTCACTTTGAGGACAGGGGTGTCTCCTCTCTCTTGGAAGGAAGAAAAGGTAAATATTAGAGTCAAATACTTGTGCCACTTTTGAAGGTATACCAAGTCATGAAGTAGCATTTTATTATTTGTGTTCTCTCACTCTTTTTAAAATTTCTTTCTCCTTTATAGTGATTTTAAATTCTTCACACACTGATTCCAGGAAGAAAACTGTAAATCGTAGTAATTGTGAAAGCAGATAGTTGGGAGTACATCTGGAGTGGGTGGAAGAAAGGAGTGGGTTTGAAGTCAACCTGTTACTTACCAGCCTCCGATTTCCACTGAAGTGTTAGCTGGGATATGTGGAAAATTTCAGATTGGAAGACTGTCCGGATATTCAAAAATACTTATCTGGCACACATACACATGGTTGTACCTGTTTTTAAAGGAACCACCTTCTGAGAGAATCAGCTCCAGAGATAGTATAGTTCTAATAAATTAAAAAATAAATCAAGTCTTGGGGTACAGTGGCTCTTGCCTGTAATCCTAGGTACTCAGGAGGCTGATCTGAGGATAACGGGTGTAGCCAGCCTGGACAGAAAAGTCCATCAGCCTCTTATCTCCAGTTAATCAGCGAAAGGTGGCCTGGCATTCTACCTAAAGAAGTAGAGTGACAACCTTTATTGAAAACGCTAAGGGACAGCACTCAGGCCCAGAGTTCAAACCAAGTACCAGCATACAAGCAAAATCAAATTCCTTTGAGCTTGCCCACTATGAACTGTCCTAAACCATGGTGGTTATCAGAATTTGATTTTGCAATTGCAGGACAAAAAATTCCTCCCTTTTAAGGTTTTATCATATTTTATTTTTTTGGCACTGGATCACGCAGGCACTTAGCCACGTAAGCTAGGCCTCCAGCTTCTTTTTGCATTGGTTATTTTAGAGGTAGGGTTTAATTACAGTTTACTTTGTCTGTCTTGGGTGACAGTCTTATTCCTGGAGTTTCCCCAGGTCTCTGGGGATGACAGATGTTCAACACTGTACTCTTCCCCTGTAGCTGGGAACCATATACATCACTGCCTACCTAGCCTTAGGTTGAGAATGTGTCTTGGAAACTTCTATGCATCACCCAGCCTTGAACCAGAATCCCCGTCTCCATTTCCTAAATAGCTAGGTTTTCAGGAGCTCCCTTGAATCCTCCTTTTCAGTTGATTATATGTGGTATTTTGTAGCAGTGGTGGAAAATAGTAGCCTCCAACGTCATTTCTAATTGAATATAGGGGAATTCATCTGCACTCAAGATATTCATCTGTACTCAAGATATTTGGCTGAGAGAAAGTATGCTTTCTGACACTGAATTTAATTTTGACTCTATATTATTATATAGAATACTGATTAATGTCATTTAAGGAAGATATACTTTTCTCTTGGAAAACCTGAAACTCCAGTGTGTTAATAGACTGAAACATTATCTTTTTTCTGTCCTTTTCTTTTTCCTGTGTGGACTACTACCAACCAGAAAATGGATGCCACACATGTGGATTGGGCTCATAAATTATTACAGTAAGCTGGAGTCTGTTTAAGCTTTTCAGTATTCCTAATACTAGAAAGGGGCAAATATACATAAAGCAAAATTATATGTAATTGCTTTAAAATGTTTAAAAAGATAATATTGTATAAGTATGTGTTAAATGGTAGTCTTGCTAGAGTTAAAGGAAAAAGGAATTTAGTAATTTGTTGCGAAATTACTGCAAGGCCTTTAAAAGTACATACAAAGAGTGAAGTAATCTTTAAATAGGGGTTGGAAAATGGAAAATGAGATGTAAAACTCTTTGATTGTTGGTAATGAAGTTTTAATGAACTTTATTCTTAGTTACTTTTTGAAATAGACTTATATAAGAAGATGCTTTCTGTTTTTTGGAAGAAATGAGCATCTAATGACAGAAACTAAGGATTGATTTTGAAATTCATATATAATCCTAAGATGTTCAGAAGGGGCTAG